CCGGAATTACAGGCATGCACTACCACGCCCGGCTGATTTTTGATTTGTTGTAGAGATGAGGTCTTGCTGCCCAGGTGGGTCTGGAACCCGCGGCCTCAGGCAGTCTGCTCACCTCAGCCTCCCAAAGGCACGGGATTATAGGCTGAGCCACCGAGCCCGGCGAATAATTCTTTTAAAAAGTTTGTGGTTTTTTTTTTTTTTTTGAGTTGGAGTCTCATTCTGTCGCCCAGACTGGAATGCAGTGGCCGCTCCCGGCCACCGCAGCTGCAACCTGCTGGGCTCCGGCGATTCTTCCATCTCAGCCTTCCGAGTAGCCGGAATTACAGGCGCGGGCTACCATGCCCGGCTGATTTTTTGATTGATTGTAAAGATGAGGGCTCGCCAAGTTGCCCAGGTGGGTTTCGAATCCGCGGGCTCAGGCAATCCACTCACCTCGGCCCCCCAAAGGCGCAGGATTACAGGCTGAGCCACCGAGCCCGGCTAAAAAGTTTTTAATGTTAGCATGATTTTAGGAATATAGTGAATAGTATTTTAATTCACTCTCTATTTGAGGGCTTATTGAAACCATGAGATGTCTGCATTTGACTAATGTGACAAAATGGAACCTACAGCGCTTCAAATGAAGATAGGACTATATTGAACACCTTTTGTTGAGGGCAGTAAGTTATTTAATAAGCTTTTCTTTAAATTTGCATCAAAAGCAGTATTATTTTTATTTCATAAGGGAGATCTGAATAGGCTTCTTAATCGTCAACTAAGTTTTCAACTCTTTACTTCCAGGCAAAACAGTAAGCTAATTTTTTTTTAATGTGCATTTCTTTAATTTTTAAAAATATACACAGGAGAAGCCATGTGTTTTACATAGGAATTTACACATTAACAAAGCATTTCTTATAGTTTTCCAAAACTCTACTATAATCAGTCCAATATTTATAAATTAAGTATATCAGAATTTTTAAAGTTAAAATGAAATCCCTGAAACTATGCTAGACATTTTTCCAAAATCAAATGAACAGAGAATATGAATATGGTTCATGTTAAATAAGGTTTATTGTTAGATTGCCTATAGTCTATAAGAAGCAACTTCATTGTGCCTTGCAAACAGGATACATTTCTTAAAAAACTGATCAAAATCTTCCATACATGTAGCTCTATATGACAGATTACAGTGCAACACTATCCGTGATACATAATTATAGAAATACTCTTGAACCCAAGAGTACAGGGTAAGCAAAAGAAAAACAGTCCTGAGCCATCTGAACAAGATGATTTGATGAATCCTTTTAGCGTCAGTTCAGAAAACAGAGGGAAGAAACCCATGCACACTGCAGTCACGGGCCAAGTGCCCCCAGCACCTGCTTCTCCCCAGGCACGGGGAGCCACGGCGAGCTTCAGACACGCTGTGCACGCACTCACGCTCCCATGTTCTTCTCCTGCTTCCTCCCAGCCCCACCTGCCCGCTCCTACCCCTTCCCGGAGGAACACCCGGCACAGAATCCTCGCGATCCCCCACGTCTGCCTCGCTGGAGAAGGCGGGGTGTTGGCCACCCTGAGAACGGGTCCTCCCCCACAACAGGGAGCAAAGCATGGTTATTTTCAGGAAAGGCGTTGGAGGCATGGTTTGGTTGATTTCATCACTAGGATGTGTGAGGTGACCACACAGACCAAATACCTTTCATCGCTTCACTCTGTTTTCTTGGGCAGAACTAGAATGCTGTGGTCTTGAGGGAACGTTAGCAAGGAACACGGAAGCTCTGGTGTTTCATCAGCCTGTCCAGCTGCAACAGGTTTTACATGGTGCAGCAGAGTTTGTCATAAGCAGGTACACGCTTCACGAACTGTTCTTAATCTCTAATTGAATAGATACCAAAAATAGAACAGCAAACGTATTTTAATGGCCGATGAGGTCGTTAGTTTTAGGGTGAATTTTCCACTGTTGATTTTTCCTTCGGGACATAGCGAGAGAAACAGTTTTGATTTCAAGACGTTTCCGCCGCAGTCTGAAGTCCCGGTGGGCATGTGCTTCTTTTGCTTTGCTTCCACAGGGGCAAAAGCGGTTGGACTTGGCTCTTAGCAAATTTATGAATTTAAATTGTACCTTACATTAGTCCATCTACAAAAAATAGACCTGTACCTCCAATCCCACAGCCAAAAAAAAAAAAACCTGGAAGAATATGTGCAAAAATATTAATAATGGTGATCCAAGCAGTGATTTTTATCTTTGATCATTTTTATGTGTTTTGAAATATCTACAGTGAACATACATCAGTTTTATAATTGAGAAGAAAAAATTGTTTTATAAAAAGACAATTGGGTAACCCCTTCAGGTCCTCTCCTACTGTGGGAGCTTTTCTGTTCTCAATAAATCCTGCTTTCTCAAAAAAAAAAAAAAAATTACTAGAAGCATTGGAAATATATATTAAATTTATTATATATCACCTGTATTAGTATGCTAGGGCTAGCATACCACACACACACACACACACACACACACACACACACACACACACACACACTGGGTGGCTTAAATAACAGAAATGTATCTTCTCACAGTTCTGGAGACTGAAAGTCCAAGATCAAGATGTCAGCAGATTTGATTTCTTCAGAGACCTCTCTCTTTGACTTGCAGATGGTGACTTCTTACTGTGTCTCTACATGGCCTTTCCTGTTCTCTTGTATCCCTGGTGTCTCTTCCCCTTCGTATAAGGACATCAGACCTATTGGACTAGACTCCCCTCAATAACCTCATTTAACCTTAGTTACCTCTTCAAAGGCCCTCTTTCCAAATATAGCCATGCTCCGCATAACAACTTTTCAGTTAATGACAGCCCATGTGTATATGGTGGTCCCATAAGATTATAATAGAGCTGAAAAATTCCTATCACCTACTGACATTGTGAACATCCTAAGGTTTATAGCACAACACATTACTCATGTGTTTGTGGTGATGTAGGTTTAAACAAGCCCACTGCACTGCCAGCCATATAGAAGTCTAACACATGTAATTATGTACCTAATACTTGATGATGATAGTACATGACTATGTTACTGGTTTATGTGTTTACTATACTTTTAATCATTATTTTCGAGTGTTGCCCTTCTGGTACAAAAAAAAAAAAAAAAACTGTAAAACAGCCTAAGGCAGATTCTTCAGGAGATGTTTCAGAAGAAGGCATTGTTATCACAGGAGATGACAACTCCATGCATGTTATTGCCTCTGAAGACCTTCCAGTGAGACAAGATGTGGACATGGAAGACAGTGATATTGATGACCCTGACCCTGTGGAGGCCTGGGCCAATGTGTGCGTTTGTGTAAAAGTTAAAAAATTTGTTTAAAATAGAAAAAGATTATAGAATAAAGATGTAAAGAAAATGTTTTTATACATCTGCACAATGAGTTTATGTTTTAGATTAGGTGTTATTACCAAAAAGGTTCAGAAATTTAAAAAAATTAAAAGTTGTATAAAGTAAAAAAGTAACAGTAAGCTAAGGTTATTTTATTATTGAAGAAAGGTATTTTTATAAATTTAGTGTAGCCTAAGTGTTAGAGTTTGTATAAGTGTACAGCAATTCCTAGGCTTCACATTCTCTCACCACTCACTCACTGATCACCCAGAGCAACTTTCAGTCCTGCAAGCTCCATTCATGGTAAATGCCCTATACAGGTGTACCATTCTTTATCTTTTATATTGTGTTTTTACTGTGCCTTTTCTGTTTAGATACACAAATACCATTGTGTTCCAGTTATCTACCGTATTCAGGACAGTAACATGCTGTACAGGTTTACAGCCTAAGAGAAAAAGGCTAGACCAGGGACCTAGGTGTGGAGTAGGCTATACCATCTAGGTTTGTGTAAGGACGTTCTACGATGATGCTCACACAGCAACAAAATTGCCTAACAATGCATTTCTCAGAACGTGTTCCCATCGTTAAGTGACACATGATTGTACAGTCACATTGGGGGTTATGGCTTCAACATAAGTTTTTTGGGTAGACTCAGTTCAGTCCATAATACTACCAATTCTTAGCTGCTGTAAAATGAAAAACATTCTCACCTCTGAGTCACACATAGAAACAAATCAGTGTAAAGAGACTTTAATGGCAAAGTGCACGAGAGAATTGAAATAGTTACATGAGTAATTTAAGAAAACATTTAGAAAGCAAGAGGGGAAAGAGGGCTGCATTGTCTAAATAATTACTTGATTTTTATTATACAACTTTACATTTGCTTTCTCCATGTGCTACAGTTATAGAAATCTGATATTTCCTAGTCGCTGCCATAACTGCAGCAAAAGCCACTCAGTGGCACCTTAGGTCACATTAGTTAGTGCTAGAGTCCAGCCCCACTTACAGGGCATCTGATGAAACGTCAGCTGTGACAATTCTACCAGAATGCCATTTTGCTTCCAAGATATCCAGTTAAGTGGCCGTCCATAGCCCAGTAGTTTTACCTGAAATTAAAAACATATATACAAATGTCTCCAAATTTCTCTCTTTATCTTACCCACTTTCTGTTGGGAAGGAGTGAGTGGTATTTTTTTTATATGTACCTGTAGCATTTTTTTCACCTTTATGTAGTGATTCACAGTGTGTTTTAGCTCTTCATCCAATTAAGTGAGTGCATCTATCTTGCTACTATATTCTTGCTTCTATTTTACTCTCAAGAGGGAAATAAAAGTGTGCAGGGCTAGGGAAGGAGAACTGTAAAGACTGAATGGAGTGTCAGAGTGGGGAAGACACTGAACAGATAGGGGAAAGAAAAAGACTTTGGAACCAAGCTACCCAACCAGGGTCTGCCCAGTTCTTACACAGAATATTTGGAGAAAGGCTCCCGTCTCTTATCTAGACACTGCTCCTCCCCAGATTTCCTAATGACCTACTAATCAATATTACATATGTTCTCACTCATAAGAGGACATTGAACAATTATAATGCTATAAGAAATCAATTGGCAGTAGTGGAAAACTGTCAGGGGAGGAGGGGTGGGACTGGCAGTTGAGGGAAACTGCTAGGGCAGGGAGGGGCATACCTCATTTACAGGGGTACCTGCATGATCAATGTTTGTATACCTAACCCTGAATTGTATCCCACATCTTTACACTAAAAAAAAAAAAACTTTGCTTCTCAGGTGGATCAATACAAAAACAAAACCCACGAACTTTTAAATAATGATATTAATTGATGTCAAAAAGAACATAGATAAAGAGATAATCAGTGTCATACCCAGGCTACTAGCTATAATTAAATATTAGATTTGAGCTCCATCTTCTTTCTGCATGGTCATCTATAAGTGTTAGAAATGAAACGTGGAAGTGTGATGGAAGGAGAAGCGTGTGGACAATTCACTTCCAAAGGAATCATCCATTTCTTAAGGAATTAGCTATAAACATATCAAAATTATCTCAATGCCAGACCTAGTGGTTACAACAGTTAGATTAATCTTTAACTTCTTCCAAAATGTTTTGTAAACTTTAAATAGTAGGATTGTGTCACCTTACTTTCATTCAGATGTGTTTTGGGGTGGGGTGTCAGGGAAAGCATCTGAATTCTAGTTTTATGAAAAATCATTCTGTATACATGCAGTGAACTTGAATGACTGGGAAGAACAGTGTCTATTTCATGGTGATGTGTGAGGATAATGTGGCTGTTTTATGGGTTTAGTTTTCTGGGAAATAAACACACTTAACAGTTTTGGCCAAACATTGACATTGATGAAACCTGTTTTAAAATTACTCTTACGAGATATAAAGTGAGTACATATAAGGCCCCCCTTAAAGTTCAAAGTTATATTTTATCAGGATATTCTAGTCACCAATTTAAAGGAATGAAATAAAATTCCCTTTTACCTCTGTTGCCCCCAGAGTAGCTTTGGGCTGGCCAAGAAACAGCTGTCCTGATGTGGGCCATTTAAGAAAAATAGCATAGACCAAATTTTCTTTAGGTTTGGACGTGTACCTGGTTAAAAGAAAAAAATTAAAAGCATAGTAACAAGTTACATCCCATGTTGCTCATTATGCATGAGTCAGGTCTGGAATTGTTTTATGGAGATACTATAATATATACTATATAGAGATATTATACTATATACTATGAAGATACTATACTATTAACTATATAGAGACACTACAGAGATACTATACTATATACTATACAGAGACACTGCAGAGATACTATGTATATACTGTATAGAGACACTACAGAGATACGATACTATATACTATATAGAGATACTATAATACTATATAGAGATTCTACAGACACTATACTATATACTATATAGAGATACTATACTATAGAGATGTTGAGTAAATATTTATCAATGTCTCCACTAATGGAAGGAAAAATAGCCCCGTGGTGGTATAAAAAGCACCTCTCTCCCCCAGAACCAAAAGGAAGTTCTCAAAAGAGAACGGCTTTCCTGGTCTACTATTCCCTGCCATCAGTCTGCTCTAGTGGAGCCAAATGGGAGAGGGGGTGAGCAAAGGGGCAGGATGCAAGAGCTTCATGGCTTTCCATGTGCTGATCCACATTTTTACATTCATTCATTCAACAGGACAAGACATGCATATGTCAATGCTGTGCCTGGTACTGTGCTCAGTGTTAGGAACACAATAGAAAACAAAACACTCAGTTCTTGTCCTTATGGAGCTTAGACTAGAGTGGAGAAGGCAAACATTAAATAATCACACAAATAATATGAAAGTAGGAGTTCTGCCGGGCTCGGTGGCTCAGCCTGTAATCCCGCGCCTTGGGAGGCTGAGGTGAGTGGATTGCCTGAGCCCGCGGGTTTGAGACCCGCCTGGGCAACTTGGCGAGACCTCATCTCTACAATAAATCAAAAAAAATAGCCAGGCGTGGTAGTGAGCACCTGTAGTTCCAGCCACTTGGAAGGCTGAGGTGGAAGGATCGCCAGAGCCCAGCAGGTCGAGGCTGCGGTGACCGGGAGCGGCCACTGCACTCCAGTCTGGGCGACTGAGTGAGACTCCAACTCAAAAAAAAAAAAAGAAAGAAAGTAGGAGTTCTGATAAGCACTATGAAAGAAGAGAAAACCGAGCAATTCTAACAAAAGGATCTCTTTAGATTAGACCATCTGAAAGAAGTCTCTCCAAGAAAATGACATTAATCCGAGACTTAAAGGAACAATGAGGACAAAGAAAAAGGTAAGAGAATTGTGCTCTAGACAAAGAAAACACAATTCATCCATCAGTCATTCAATTGCTCAAAAAATATTTAACGAAATTTTTAAATACTGTTTTAGAGCTAGAGATACAGCACTGAACAAAGTCCTTGTTCTCGGGGAGCTTACATTTTAGTGGGAGAAATTAGAATGGACAAATAAAGTACGTCAGGTGATGATTAAATGCCATGGAGAAAACTGGAGTAGGATAAGGAGGACAGGGCATGCTAGGTAGGAAAGAAGGGGCCTGGGGAGTTATTTTAAGTAGAGTAGTCAGGAAAGATATCTCTGAGGAGGCGGCATTGAGGAGAGTCATGGGTGCACCTGGAGGAGGAGCCTTTCCGGCACACAGAACAGCAGGTGCAGAAGCTCCAGTACAAGAGTGTGCTTGGCCTGTTGCTCCAACAGCAAGAAGGGCAGAATGGCCGAGGGAGAGGGCGAGAGGGTGATGCTCACAGCACACAAGACCAGAGAGGCTGCAGGAAGCCAGATTGTATAGGATCCTACAAGTGTCTGTGAGACCTACCTTTTCTCTGAGACTGGAAGCCACCGGAGGACTTGAGTGTTGAAGTAGCATAACCTGATTTATTATTTAAAAGTCTACTCTGATTGCTTTGTGGAGGACAGATGAAAGGGGCAAAGGTAGAAACTGAGATAAGTCAAGAAGTTACTGGAATGATCCAGGCAGGAGCAAGAGACAACAGAAACCAGAAAGATGAGTGTTGCTACCAGGAGGATCAAAGTGGTCAGGTTCTGGATATATTTCAGAGATAACAATGATAATGGCTGGGCCCAATGGTTCATTTCTATCTATAATCCTTGCACTTTAGGAGGCCTGAGATAGGAGCATCATTGAGGCTAGAAGTTTGAGATCAGCCTGGGCAACAAAGTGAGATCCTGTCTCTATAAATTTTTTTTTTCTTTTGAGTTGGAGTCTCACTCTGTCACCCAGACTGGAGTGCAGTGGCCGCTCCCGGCCACCGCAGCCTCGACCTGCTGGGCTCTGGCGATCCTTCCGCCTCAGCCTTCCAAGTAGCCAGAATTACAGGCATGTGCTACCACGCCTGGCTGATTTTTTGATTTATTGTAGAGATGAGGTCTCGCTGCCCAGGCGGGTCTCGAACCTGCGGGCTCAGGCAATCACTCACCTCAGCCTCCCAAAGGCGCGGGATTACAGACTGAGCCACCGAGCCCAGTTATAAAAATTTTAAAAATTAGCTGGGCATGGTGGTACACAACTGTAGTCCCCACTACATGGAAGACTGATACAAGAGGACTGCTTGAACCCAGAAGTTCAAGATTACAGTGAGCTACGCTAGTACCACAGCCCTCCAGCTTGAGTGACAGAGCAAGACTATGTCTCTTTTTTTTTTTAAAAAAAAAAAAAGGAAGTTAAGGACTCCAAGGTTTTGGAGCTGGCAACTGCCTAAAAGGATGAAACTACCATTAAATGAAATGGGAAAGATCCTGAGTAGAGCTAGTCTGTGGGTGGAGCTGGATTATAGCAAATGTTTATTTATTTGTTCTTCTGGCTTTTTTTTTCTTTTTAGTTTTTGGAGTTCTTGTTGTTGTTGTTTTGGTAGAGACTGGGTCTCGTTATGTTGCCCAAGCTGGTCTGCAACTCCTGGGCTCAAGCAATCCTTCTACTTCGGCCTCTAAAACTGCTGGGATTATACATGAGCCCCCATGCTTGGCTTAAGGCAAAATTTTAAAAGTCAGGACTTCAGTTTTGAACAACGGGTTTAAGATGTGGAAATGGTGAGTAGGAAGTAAAATATCTGTGAGGCTGGAGTTCATAAAGAATTCTGCATTGAAAATATACATGTGAAGGTCATCAACATGGCATTTAGAGCCATGAAAATGGATGAAATCAGCTGGGGGCTTAAGAGAGAGAATTAAAGTCAAAGGACTAGACATCAGGGCAATTCCAGATTTAGAGTTTGGGGCCTGGCACAGTGGCTCATGCCTGCAATCCCAGTGCTCTGGAAGGCTGAGGCAAGAGAATTGCTTGAGACCAGGAGTTGGAGACCAGCCTAGGCAACATAGTGCCTACAGAATAAAAAAAAAAAATCTCTACAGAATTAAAAAAAAAATCTAAAAAAATTAGCCGGGCATGGTGTCACAGGCCTGTAGTTCCAGATACTCAGGAGGCCAATAAGAAAGGTTAGCCTGAGCCTGGGAGGTTGAGGCTGTGGTGAGCTGTGATTGTGCTGCTGTACTCTAGCCCGGGTGACAGAATGAGACCCCGACTCAAAAAAAAAAAAAAAAAA